ATATAAAGTAAGTCACAAGGACTCTTTCTTTTGGTTTTAAAATAAACGTTTCTTTTGTAGAAAAATATCAATGCGCCTTACTAACCAGCTCCTGATATTGAATCTTCAACTTTGTTAGTTTGGTCTAACTATAAGATATACCAACAAGTCGAAAATAGTAGAGTATAAGAGAGAGAGAGAGAGAAAGAGAGTGGGGTCTGCATATCTATTTGGGTATAACATTTACCATTTGAGCACTATGCCTAATCCGAGATAATGATCTTGACGACATTATAAAATTGATCAAATGGGCGCGTTCGTCGCATAGATAAATTCGTGCCTTTTGAAGTGGCTACAAAGATGGCTAAAGTAGAGGGGGTTGCATGGGGGTGGAGGAATGCGAGGGGGTTGGTATGAGGGAGTATCTAACGGCTGTAATCAAACCAAGGTAACGATTTCACACATAAAACACTGTCGGCATTCACCAGGAAATGGATATTGCCTCATGCCATCGATAACGGGCCCCGATAGAGATTCGGATAGTCGTTGCAACTTTACACGCGACCGTGTTTCGGCCACTCTTCTGAGACGGATAAAACGGACGCAGCTCGTAAAAGCGAGTCTCTAATGACTTTTATTGAGGTCCAACGCGCTAAAACAGAGCTGAGAAAGATGTCATTATGCCGAGCTGAGTGACTAAGAGGTTCTTGTAGAACTTCGATTAATAGCGATAAAAGTTATCGATTACTGGAAGAGGAAAAAATAGGTTGTGTTTTTTCTTGCTGTAGTCGTAAAAAGAATGTCGGTCGGACAAGTAACTTCGTATCTTTTTTGGTTGCTAGTAATTTAAGATTAAATATAAGGGAAAAAAGTTTTGATGATAACTAAATACCGTAGAGGGGACTGTGCACATCTTTCAAAACGTTTTAATTAAACAAACCGTATTTAAGATATTATAGACAAATAACTACATATTATCTTAATAAAAATCTTAGTATAGATTTAATGTTCATTAAAATGCATTTTTATTCTTTTACAGACTTTTATAATATAATATATTTTAGACGATGGCTGTTGGTAGCAATGGTAGTGTTATGGTTAACGGTACTGAAAGTAAAATCGGCATCCTAATTCATATCGAGCCTATTTTTCACTATACTAATATAGTAACAGCATCAAGTAGAAGTGTATGACGCTTTATTAGACTTAATAATATTTATTTTTGTATAAAACACAAATGAATGTGTCACATGGTCAAAAGTAGTGATCGGGAAGCCTGGTATTCCAACTGTCTTATCTTAAATGTTAACTAGCCACAATCACTGACCCAAATAAACTATACAATATCCTTTGCACCAAAACACCACATTATTATCATTCTTACGGCAACCACTGTAATACCTCTAAGTCTCTATGAAGTCCTAACTAGTCCCCTGTGTGCAATTTGTCCGTCTGTTTGGTCTTTAAAAAAAAAAAAAAAATGAAAAATGAAACACCAATGAATATTTACAATATGCATAATAATATATGTCATGAATAATCAAGAGTGGTCTCGCCTTGTTTTGTTACTGTTTACTGGGACTATAAAAGGACATTATACACGAACCTTGTATTCTCAGTAGAATAAAGCTTTCTTAAAGCCTACACGTGTACTTTTGTCATTTCACAATATATACAAGAAACTAAACAAAATGGTGTTAGTAATACCCTCCTCCACCACATACACAAACACACAATCTCTAATTGTGTCAGAAATACCAGGTAACTGGACGACATTAATACGGGGTATGGCTAAATTAAAACAGACTTTATTCGACTTAATTCAGCTATAGCGATTGAAAGCATTCTATTTATTGTAATGGATAATTCGGGGGGAGAGTGGATGTGCTTATTTTATTAGCACAACGATGTATGAGCCAAATATGAATGTAGTCTTTAACCGTAAGATCGGAAATGCCAATGTATGAAAAGTGTATGAAAAGGCAAAAATTAGAAAAAAAATTGCATTAAAGTGAAAAATTAGAAAAAAATGTAACGGGCATGAAAAGACACAAATCCAAAAAAGTGTGTGAAAAGTCAAAAATTAGAAAAAGTCTATGAAATGTCAAAAATTACAAACAAAAGTCTATTAAAGTCAAAAATTAGAAAAAAGGCTATGAAAAGTAAAAAATTACAAACAAAAGGTCTATTAAAGTCAAAAATTAGAAAAAAGTCTATGAAAAATCAGAAATTAGAAACAAAATGTATTAAAGTCAAAATTAGAAAAAGTCTATGAAAAATCAAAAATTAAAAACAAAAAAGTCTATTAATGTCAAAAATTTAAAAAAAGTATATGAAAAAATCAAAAATTAGAAAACAAAAGGTCTATTAAAGTAAAAAATTCGAAAAAGTCTATGAAAAGTAAAAAATTACAAACAAAAGGTCTATTAAAGTCAAAAATTAGAAAAAAGTCTATGAAAAATCAGAAATTAGAAACAAAAATGTATTAAAGTCAAAAATTAGAAAAAAGTCTATGAAAAATCAGAAATTAAAAACAAAAAGTCTATTAATGTCAAAAATTAGAAAAAAAGTCTATGAAAAATCAAAAATTAGAAACAAAAGGTCTATTAAAGTCAAAAATTCGAAAAAGTCTATGAAAAGTAAAAAATTACAAACAAAAGGTCTATTAAAGTCAAAAATTAGAAAAAAGTCTATGAAAAATCAGAAATTAGAAACAAAAAATGTATTAAAGTCAAAATTAGAAAAAAAGTCTATGAAAATCAAAAATTAAAAACAAAAAGTCTATTAATGTAGAAAAAAAAAATTAGAAAAAGTCTATGAAAATCAAAAATAAAAAACGAAAAAGTCTATGAAATGTCAAAAATTACAAAAAAAGTCTATGAAAAATCAAAAATTAGAAAAAAAAGGTCTAGAAAAAAAAAAAAATTCGAAAAAGTCTATGAAAAATAAAAAATTAAAAACAAAAAGTCTATTAATGTCAAAAATTAGAAAAAAAGTCTATGAAAAATCAAAAATTAGAAACAAAAGGTCTATTAAAGTCAAAAATTAGAAAAAAGTCTATGAAAAATCAAAAATTAGAAACAAAAGTCTATTAAAGTCAAAAATTAGAAAAAAGTCTATGAAAAATTAAAAATTAGAAACAAAAATGTATTAGAAAAAATTAGAAAAAAGTCTATGAAAAATCAAAAATTACAAACAAAAGTCTATTAAAGTCAAAAATTAGAAAAAAGTCTATGAAAAATCAAATATTAGAAACAAAAATGTATTAAACTCAAAAATTAGAAAAAAGTCTATGAAAAATCAAAAATTAGAAACAAAAATGTATTAGTCAAAAATTAGAAAGAAGTCTATGAAAAATCAAAAATTACAACAAAAGTCTATTAAAGTCAAAAATTAGAAAAAAGGTATGAAAAATCAAAAATTAGAAACAAAAGTATATTAAAGTCAAAAATTAGAAAAAAAGACTATTAAAAATAAAAAATTAGATACAAAAGTGTATTAAAGTCAAAAATTAGAAAAAAGTATAAAAAATCAAAAATTTGAAAAAACTGTATGAACAGTCGAAAATTAGAAAAAAATGTATGAAAAGCCAAAAAATAGAAAAATGTGCATGAAATGTCAAAAATTAGAAAAAGTGTATGAAAAGCCAAAAATAAGAAAAAAGTTGTATGAACAGACAAAAATAAGAAAAAAGGTGTATAAAAAGTCAAAAATTAGAAATAATTGTATGAAAAGTCAAAAATTAGAAAAAAAAGACTAAAGAGAGGAGACAGCTGTCAGAGTATCTAGCCTAGGAGTCACTCAATACTGCTGCCTCTACGAACCACATAATCTTATTATGCTTTATAATGCTGTCATATCTGGTACTGGAGCTATTAATGAATTGATGAAAGAGTGAAAGAAAGACCGAATGTGTAAATGAATGAATGAAAGAAAAAGGAAAAGAAGAAATAACGAAAAAAATAAATGAAAAAATATAAGCGAAAAAAAGAGAAAGAAAGAAAGAAAAATAAATGAGTAAATAAAAATAAGAAAAAAAGAAGGAAACAATGAAAATGTGTGAAAGCTTGAAAGAAAGTACTAACCCCTTTCTCGGCATAAACGTGTATATACGTTTTATTTTTTAATTTTTACTAAAAGTATGTTGATTCTATTTATTCTCTTCCGAACTTCAAGCAAGTTCGATTTTCAACTCAAAAGCCTGGTAGATGTGTTAGCCAAAACTCGTGTATGAAGTGAAACGTTTTTCCTAAAATAATTGGCGAGAAAGGAGTTAATAAAATATCAGGAGGAGAAGATAAAGAAAAAGAATAAATGAATGAAAGAAAGAAATAAAGGTAAAAGGGATTAAATGATTTTTTTATGGGCTGTCTACACCTTGCAGATTATTCAAAAGAGAAACATATTTTGAATCGTAGAAATATCTCCTTTATTTGGCGTGTTACTATATCAACAATTTGCTGAAGATATAAATGATGGTTTCAGATTCACTTCCCGGTATTTAATTCTTAGCAGATGGGAGATGGATTCGAGCATTTTCCAAGGTTATTTGAACGTAAGTGAATGTAGAGAACTCGAATGAAATTTGAACTCGGCTCTTCATATTCTCATTCTATTACATCACCCGCACATACACAGACGAAAAAGAAGAAAGTGTGAAAGAAAAAGATGAGGAATAAATCGATATATCATGAAAGAAAGTGCCCCCCACAAAAAAAATCAACGCTAGAACAAAATAAATACAGTAAATAAGAAAAAAGTGACAAAGAAAAATTCACACAGAAAAATCAAACAAATTTAAAAACGATAAAAGAAACGGAATAATAATAAATAAAAGAAAGCAAAGAAAGTAAAAAAAAAAAACAAACATATTTTACACAAGAATCAGAGAGAAATACTAAGACAAAGCACCCCCCTTCCTGAGACATGTATGTAAACGATCTTTAATATTACCCTCGTTATAACATTGACCATTTTAAAATTCAAAAGAAATTGTGAAGAGATGATTCTTATGAAATATTTTAAAAGAATTTCCAAAAAGATAAAAGAAGAGAATTTGGAAATGGAAAAAATGCGTCAACGAAGCAAAACATAGAAAAAGATATAAAGGAAAAGTCATAATGTTTTATGGATGGATTGGAACATAAAGAAATAAAATAAAAAACCCCAAAAAACAAAAGAGAGAAAATGCATGGAAATAAAGAAGAAAACGAAAGAAAACAGCCGAAGAAATGAAAATATTGGCGCGTATGAAAATGAATGCTAATTAAAGAAAACTGCAATTAATGATGAAAAAGAAGACATAAAAAGAAGAAAAAGATTGAAATACGAAGCTGTAAATTTTGTCAAAGAAAAGAAAGAGAATGGAAGAAAACAGAAGAAGAGGAAAATGAAAGAATAAATAAATAGAGTAAGGAAAGAAAATAATATAAGGAATGACGGAAACTGAATAAAAGAAAGAAAGAAAGAAAGAAAGAAAGAAAGAAAGAAAGAAAGAAAGAAAGAGGATAAAAATTAAGAAAAATAGGTAGGGTAAAGCGTGAAAATAAAGAAAGAAAGAAAGAAAGAAAGAAAGAAAGAAAGAAAGAAAGAAAAATGAAAGAATGAATGAATGAAAGAAACGGAAAAGATACAGAAAAGAAAAAAAAAGAGAGAAAAGAAAAAGAAGTACAAAAAATAAAGATAAAGAAAGAAAGAAATATATAGGAGAGGAAAAGAAAGAAAGAATAGAAGGAAAAGAAAAGTAGAGCTGAACATGAAGCAAGATATTAAAACAGTGAAAACATTATAGATGATTAGAGTAATAAAACATTGTAAGCCAAAAGAGGAGAGGAAACCCAATTCTAAAAAGCAGGCTGCCACTACAGTTAACAAAAAAAGAAAAAAAAGACAATTTTAGCATTAAATGTATTCTATTTCGAGGCTTTTGCATTTGTCACGGGGTTAATGAATTTGGACCCCAGTAAATGGTGGAAAATCTCTTCACAGAAGAAGAAGGGTCATGAGTCGAAAAAAAAAATCGGCTCTACCGGAGACTGAGAATGCAATGTACAGAATATGTGAGCAACGGTGAAGTTTTAGATAAAACGAAAACAGAAAGGACACATAGATAACATCAAAAAGAGACAGTTCTAGAGCAGATAATGAGGAAAGATGGCTTGGAAAATTTGACACACAGAGGACAGATTGAAGGCAAAACGGACAGAGGAAATCAGAGCATAAACTAGGGCAGGGATGAGGAGATATAGAAAAAAGTAGGCTATGAAGGGCTACAAAGAACAGGAAAATATAGGGGGCCATGATAGCGCACGTCCTTAAGGGAAACAGCATAAAGAAGAAGAAGAAGAAGAAGAAGAAGAAGAAGAAGAAGAAGAAGAAATGTTGAAGCATATTTAGTTATGATGGATCAGTTAGTACCGACTAACGTCGCGAGTGAATTACTGCGTTAATTCATTTAACACAACTACTGGTACTACTGCTACTACTACTACTACTACTAATAATAATAATTCAGGCATCGGGGCCATTGAAAAGAAAAAGAAGAAAATGCCATCTCATCGATGTGACTTCCTCGTAACCGTAATCTCAGGGTCAAAGAATTTGAAAAGCTTAAATCTGCAGCGGACTCCGGATGGAGATCGCCAAAATTTGCGATTTTCAGGCCTCTATTACCCCAATTATAATCGGAGCGTTGGTGGGAGAGTCTATACCATTGAACCTAAAACACCTACATTAAGAAAACCAGGAAGAAGTTTGGTGCCCTTTCAGAAATCTGCGCTGCTTGACTCAGCAATTCTGCGAAAGGCATTATCTTGGGCTGAGAAAGAAAAAAAAAAGACTTGCAAAAGAAGAAATAATAATAATAATAATAATAATAATAATAATAACTCTCGAAAGTATTGGCATATGGGAATATCAACAATCCCTTTTGCAGTTGGAGCCCTAGGAATGGTTGGAAAAGATTGCAGTAGACTAATTGAAGGGATTCCTGGAAGTCCATGCCTCAAGGAGATACAAAAAGTTGTTCTGACAAGTACAGCCCACACTTTACGAAGGGCTTTATCTATGTAATTTTTTTTTTGTCAGTGGAAAGTGTCATGACGCCATTTCTAACCTTAGGTCTGTGGGCGGGACCCGGAAAGAAATGTGTAAACGCCAGAAATCAAAGAAAATAAAAACAATAATAATAATAATAATAATAATCCCATTTGAGTAAACAATAATTTTATTGTGTATGACAAGTTACAAACGACTTTCTAAGTTTAAATTATAGTGAGCGTTGGTAATAAAATTTATCTACCGATGGTTTCAATATCAAATTAGAGAAAAAACAAAACAAAAAAAAAACTCTCCTTCTACAATTATTATCCACCACAAGCCTGGATTTTACAGAGAGATAGAAATATCGCCTACACAGGACAGTAAAAATGGATTCCAGACTGGTAGTTATAAGAATCCTTTGCAACATGGCGTCATCCTGATGTCTGAGTCGAGACATTTTGCAATATACATTAGTTCTATTTTTCAGGCCTGGAGAGAAAGCATGTAAATCATTTTCATACATTGTCTGCATACTATCTTTCTAGGGAACACCAACGTTATTTTACCTTCTTTCCAGTCGCCTTTATCTGTTTTTATTATAAAAGATTTGGTAGATAAAGTCAAAGCCACAACATTTATCTGGTAGCCCGACAATCGCTTATAAGACGAGAGCCGATAGTTTGAGCCATATTTTTAAATCCAAAGTGCGTTATATAGTATTGCTCAACTTTCAAACCAGTCTATGAATACTTATTTTTTAGGCAAACAATTTGTCCCCAAGTTGTTGTGTCATAACCTTTCTTGCTTCCGAAATGACATGCAGCAAGATGACTTAACTCTTTAATGGCTACCGTAAAATCGCGTAAAAGAGAAGCGACGCCGCAGCGCTTTTCATGCTCTCTTTTTGAGACGCATTCTGGACATCAGTTGGTTCGACTGGGTCACCACTGCTGTAGTTCTCACTCGAAACCAGTAACCCAGACTATATGTCTTTCTCTAACTGCGCCGGTTCAGGCTGGCTTGGTCATGTACACCATATGCCGGAAAGGAAGATTCCGAAGGTCCTTCTGTACGGGCAACAGACCATCAGCAAGAAAGCACATGTACGACCTCATCTTCGCTTCAAGAACATGCAAAGTGGGCATAAGGGCAATGGACGTGGACATTGAGAGGAGGAAACACGTCGCCAAAAATCGATTACGATAGAGACGTGGTTTACACCGAGGGTTGGAGCGAGGAAAGGAAAAACGGTGCCTTGCCACCTTGGAGAAGGTTGGTCGACGGAAAAAAAAACAACATGGCGACAACGGGGGAGAGCGTTTTCATGTGCATTTGTTTCAATCGAAACTGTCACTCCCGCGTGTACCTGTACAGTCATGACAGATGTTGCGCCGCCATCAGCAGCTTAGGCATAATTCTTCGGGCTCAGATCCATGATCTCTCCGGACCGACAGATACCACATGAAATCCCGTATCAATGATAAAAATTATGACAATTTTTTTTCTTAAGTAACTCCAAAAAACTTTAAAAAAAAAGATCCGTTATATACCTATATAACCCATTAATTGCCGATCAGAGGCCTTGCTGCCTGATGTAGTTTATCGTCATACCCAGGACTGTTACATCTAATAAGCTGATTCGCCAAGTTTACTTATTCCAGATTAAAAGAGGTGGCTGTAACATCTCATTGAACAAATACTATATTGCTTGTCACAGTTGACTAGTTTTTCAGACTGCAGACGCGCTATGCAATAACGTTTATTTGTTGACAGAGATGGGCAACAAAACTGACCCTCATCCCACCTTAGAGTATATAACATGCTCCCTGTGACTTTTAATTCTTCCATAAGCTGAAGGAGAACCTCAGATGCAGTCGTTTTAAAGATATTGAGAAGATAAAGGAGGCTGGGACAAAGGTCCTGGTCACCTTCCATTGGGCATTCAGGAAGTGACTAGAGTGCTACATTGAAGACACGGGATCTTACTTAGAATGCAATTAGAGTTTTGTACATCGTTGAAATTAATAAATGTATGCCCTAAATACGTCTCATAACTTTTGGAATGCACCACGTAGCCTACTTTGTGGTTGAAACATGCATGCTTTTTTTTTTATCAATATAGAGTTTCGAGTTAAGACAAAACCATGCTTCTGAACTCAAAAATGTTCGCAGTAATTTGAAGATTAACGTATTAAAATCTCCTTTCAACCATTCCCCTGTCCGGGTCTTGTGATTTACTAACAACTCGATTACAATGCTAATAGTCGGGAAGATAAATCCTGAGATATAAAAAGTGGTTTGGAGGGTGAACGTCGATTTGTTTTTGAAATATGGAGAAATGGATAAATAGTGCCAAATGGGACCTTGACAGAGGAAAGGAATGACAATGAGAAAAGAGGTATTTATTTTTGGATGGATTACATTTCTAAATATCTTGAGTCATTGTAAGCCGTATACCTCAAGGCGTTAATGGATTTTACTTACGACGTATTACAGAGAGACATAGGCTAACTCGAATAAATGACCACAACAGGGTACTCTGCCAATCGGATGTGTTCCCTGAATAAAGTGGGCTGAATAAAAGTGAAGAAAAGAATAATAAAATATACCTCTTATACTAGAAGAGAAATAGAAAACGTTTAACAAATAAAAGATAAAGAGATATAAGAAAAGCAAAAAAAAAAGATATTGCTGAGAAAGAGTAATGTATCTTATTTCGTCACAAAAATGACGTGAAACTAAAGAGAAATTAAAAGGAGACTGAAAAAAAAGCCGAGAAAAGACGAAGCGGAATTGGACAGTGGAGAACTGTACTTACCTTCCTCCACCCAATATGGCGTCAGGTTTCAGCGTTTACTAAGCTGTGGAACGAATCGAACGAAATTCGATGATAAAATGGAGACGGGTATTTCAAGTGACTGATACTCAAATGCAAAGACGATGACCGCATCAGGACTTGTTTTCTCCGTTTGTCGATATCAAAGAGAGTCGATGCAACAAATCGATAGACACTTTGGTGTCAAAGGAAACTGTGTGGCCTAAGATATACCAGCCTCGAATCCGAAACATCATCTCTGTGTAAGTTCATCCATTTTCACCATTTTTCTAACTCTCTTCATATACCCGCATCGCTTATCAGGATTTCGAAATAATCGTGTAGCTAACTACTTCAATCGATCTTTTTACATATCACTCTACATACATATATTCCAATAATTCCCGTATATATATATATATATATATATATATATATATATATATATATATATATATATATATATATCATCTGGGGAATGATATATATCTTTCGATCTCTGAAAAGACTGGAACGAACACCTGTCAGCGTTCCTTTTTCATTTTTGAGTTACTGTTCGCATAACCTTTCTTTATTTCATTTTTTCTCTCACTTCTATGAAGTATGTCTGATTGAATATGATTTGAATAATCTATAAATTATTAACGGAAACGAATCCTCTAAGAAATGAAAAGAACTTCAAAGCTTTTTTTTTTCTCAGACCTTGGTTTACTGTGTATTACTGTTTATTCTTTTTAATATTTATAATTTGATCTTACTCTATCTAACAAACCAATTATAGATATCTGCTAAGCTTAACGTTGTCTCGCCTAAAATATTTTGACGACCAGAAAAGAATGAATGAATTATGTAAGACTAAACCATGCAACCATAGCACAAAGGCAGTCTACTATCGATCAGAATTTGATTATGGTGATGTTACAATAATAATAATAATAATAATAATAATAATAATAATAATAACAATAAATGTTAATTCCCGAAAAATTTTCCTATTTTAATTTTTTGATGAGACTTAAATCTTAAGTTTATCATTGAACGAGCTCCTTGCGAATTCCACGGCTATAAAATAGCAATGGGATTTCCCCCATTGGTCGTTAAATATTTGATTTTAGTAACTTAAAGGAAATCCTGCAATACAATTATAAATATTAATGTAGGTCATTATTTAACAAAAACGTAATTTATCAAGCAGTAGTTCAAGTCTGCTATTGTGGTTGGCGCACTGGGGGCTGTTTACAGGAACCATTGTGCCTCTCAGAACGCCATGGGTATTCCTTACATCATTGGGTTTGCGAAAGTGGCTACACCGCTTGGAAATGCTCACGTGCTAAGTAAAGTGATTTGTTTTTTTGTTTTTTTTTTATCTCAGCTGAATATAAAAACTGTGATATGACTATTAGCAACCGTCCTAAACTTTTAAGTATTTGAAAGGATATCAGATCTGAAATAATAATAATAATAATAATAATAATAATAATATGTCCACTGGAAGATATGCAAGAAGCACAAAATCGAAACCACTGAGAGATGGTATGTGCACCACCCAGAAACATGCGAATTCAAACTGACAGGGAAATAAAAGCCAACAGGCCTGATATTATCATAAAAGCCTAGAAATTCAGAAAGTGTATGCTTATTGACATAACAGTACCATCTGAGAGAAATACCTCCATAAAAATTATCGAGAAATTGTCCAGCTAGAAGGACCTGGAGATCGAGATTAACAGGATGTGGGGAATGAAGACTGAAATTGTACCAATAGTAATCGGAGCTCTGGGCCTCGTGAGAAAAGGAATGGACAATTTTACTAACAGTCCCGGGTAACATCAACATACAAGTTAGCAATTATCGTTTAACTAGGATTATCTCATATACTAAGAAAAGTGCTGTCAGTTAATTGACAATTCTCCTATAGGGCCTAAGGACTATAGTTTGGACCCGGCTCTATAGGATGCAAAGCAGGAAACATAACACACAAACAATAATAATAATAATAATAAAAATAATGAGAAGAAGAAGAAGACGTTGACGACGACGACGGCTAATCTCAGGATGTCTTGTACTTGTGTCAAGTGAATATGAAGATCGTCAGAATAGAGTGGGGCAATATTTACATTGGAAAATGTGCAGACACTTCAGAAAAGATGTTAACACACTGGTATGAACATTACCTAGCACCAGTTACAGAAATAGAAGACATCACAATTCTTTGAGATTACACCATATTTACAGACAGAAAGATTGAAGCAAAAAGGCCGGAAATAATTGTCAAAAGCTGCAAAGAAAAAAAAAACTTCCCTACTAATTGATATAACTTTCCCTGCGGACTGTAATATAGCAACGAAGAAATTTGAAAATAACTATCGAAGTATAAAAACCTGGAAGTCGGAATAGAAAATGAAATGTGTAAATTGAAAACAAGAATAGTACCAATCATAATAGGTGCGCTTGGAATGATAAAAAAGGAACACAAGAACGCATTGAACAAATCTCTGAAAATCCCAGCTTAAGAAAAATACAAAAAAATCTGTCTTGATAAGTACAGTACACACACTAAGACGATCTTTGTCCATGTAATGCTAGTGATGTTATGGGAGGTAGAAAAACAAATCATGACATGTAGCTATAACGACAAGCAACTCTACCTTAAGTCTTCCGCAGACCTGGTAGGTATTGTAACCATAGCAGAAATCGAAATTTAATAATAATAATAATAATAATAATAATAATAACTGAATTGAACAATGTACACATTTTGGGGGAGAAAACTACAAGTTTTTTGTTATGAATACCACACAGACCCGGCTACAGACATAGGACCTGTAACGACTTACAACATATTATTATACATGTAAAATATATGTTTTCTTAGGCTGTTTTATTTTTATATTTATTTTTGAATAGAAATGTTCACTTTGAAAAGACATGATGACATTTCAGGCTCTAGTACATAACCGAAATCAAAGGTGATGGTGGTGGTGAGCAAGTAGTGGTGATGATGGAGATCATTTACTACTACTACTACTACTAATACTACTACTACTACTAATACTACTACTACTAATAATAATGACATACATATCGAAGCTTTGAAAGGAATATTAGCGTAAAACTAAAACAGTCAAACACGGAAGAAAATTGCTGGAATTCTTGAGATCTCATTCAATTTCTGAATGTTTTTGAAGACAACGTCCAGGCCGATTATTTTGAAAATAAGAAACTGAAATCGGTAAATAAAGAGTTCGTTTCCAACGAGAATTGAAACTTCCCCATGGCAATGTTTCAAATGAGAAATACGGACAGTTTTATGTGGTGTAAACAAATGATAAGGTCGAATCGCTTAAGCAACATTTTATCTATGACTATATTTTGAATGATGCGTCTTAACTTGAATACTGTAAGGGCCTATATTAATCAGGACCCAAACGATAGTGAACAATATCTGAAAATTAGTTAGAAGCTATTTTTTTTTTTAAATTTATTGATCCATACTGCAGATATGAGGGTTGGAGAATCGAAAAGAAAATACGTGAGCGTTGCGATAAATAGCAAAAAAAAAACTAAAAAAAAACAAAAAAAACTAATGAAAATTTTCAAAATATATTTGCAAATTTTTAGGTTGTCTATAAATTTCTTATCAAATCTCTTCATGATTACTGTATTAACGGTTCATAACGCACACACACACATTATACACACACACACACACACACACATATATATATATATATAAAATAAATTTCTGTATATATATATATATATATATATATATATACAGAAATTTATTGGAAAAATCATTTTTAGAAATTTCTGGAATATATTCGATTTTCTAATGGACACTACCTCTGTAATAGAAAAAGTGCATCATGTGTATGAAACATTCTTTTGCAAAAAGGATGCGATGAATTTAAAAAAATTATACTTAAATAGAAATTTGCGTTTGGAGAAAGGGTCTGTAAGTGCGATCGCGATAACTTCTTTTTTTCCTTTTTGTAGCAAACACATATTTTACAGACGCGAAGGCTGACGCATAAGCGAACTAACACACGCACCGACACATACACAAAATGCACCAATAAAAAGTGCATATATAGAAAAAAAACAGAACTATAAGCAGCCAATTGCTGATTACCGTTGACGAGAGGGCAGAGTGATTGCCAAAGTGTACGTCTACGAAACTCTGGAGTCGGAACGCTGAAGGTAACATATATCGGGTATGTGACAAAAAAATTTACTTGTATAAATTATATATATATATATATATATATATATATATATATATATATATATATATATATATATATATATATATATATATATATATATATATATATATATATATATATATATATATATATATATATATATGATCGAAATTTTTTAAATGATAAAATGATAGGAAGTGTCATCAAACAGTGAAAATTCCCCGCCGACCCTACACAAGTACGCAAAAGGGCATATAAAGGCAAGCCGAGGGTTATTTCACGTCGTCTCATGTCACGACTTAAACGAGAGGCCACGAAGAACCCTGGACTAACCAGTCAAGAGCTTTTCAGTCATATTGGGGATCCTACTGTGTCTAAAAGTACTCGGTGTCGGTATCTGAGGGAAATAGCAACAACAGTCAAACCTGTATCGAAGCCTCCGTTGATGAGAAATCACATTCAAAATCGATTGAAATGAGCCGAGGACAATATGAAGATTGACTTCTCTAAAGTTTTGTTCACAGACGAAACTCAAGCAACACTTAATGGGCCAGATAGATGGTGCAAAGGCTGGGACAGAAAGGACAGAATCGCCATCAGTGTTTGAGACGCCAACAAGGCGGTGGAGGCATAATGATCTGGGGTGGTATTATTGGAAATACATTAGTGGGCCCTTAGAGAGTACCAGATGGCGTCAAAATGACTGCTGATGCATACATAGCATTTATCAAGGAGCATCGTGAACCGTGGATGAAAAGGCAAAGAGTTGCCTTCAGAAGGGCCATTGTTTTGTATCCCTCACACGCTGCTGACAAGACTACTGAATATTTGAAACAGTTAGGTTTCGATGGACCTCGAAAAATGAAGTGGCCAGCAAATTCTCCGGATTTTAACCCAATCGAAAACCATTGGAGCATCATGAAGCGA